ATAGACAGTCAGACAGGACTTTAGAGATTAACCAACGAGAATTAGCTGGTGATCTTCCGAATGTAGCCTGCTAACCTTCCCGTAGACTGGCCCCCGTCTCTAGAATAGTTAATTATACCACTTGGGACCTGTTCGTTTATGCGGAACAACCGGTTTGTCCGGTTTTAGTTGTAACATTTACGGGTACAAATCCTGGCAGACCTGCAAATGTTTATGCAGGCCTTGCAAAGCTTTGTCAAGGCTCGCCTGGAAGCAGCATCAGATTACTAGTTCCGACCTTATTTCATAAACGAACATCTTTGGTCCAACCGTTTAAACGGTAACGGCCTTGGATGTCTGATTCTAGATTCTAAACTAGGGGGGGGGGGGGGGGGGGGGGGATAAGCTATAGTAGTAAAATGCATTTGATTTCTTCATTAAAACTTAGGGGCTGGTAGCCAGTCTAACCTTCAAGGAAAAACCCAGAGGTATTTGTTCGAGGCAAATTTAAGGCAATACCACACATATGTGTTCATCCGATATCTCAGTTTACACCGGTAAATTGTGCGTATGGGCAAGTTTCACGAGGGCTTTAACAGTCTGTGTTAAATTCATATCCATCCACACAATACACTCGTGCAATTTGACACGTCCGGTAAACACAGCTGTGGTATTAGTACTATACATGTATTGTATTTTCTACGAAATTTTTACTCATCACTCCGTTTCTACATTGTATGCTTAATTTCGTTAACTTTCCGAAATCATGAACCGAACTGCTACCACTAGCCCTTCACCACTGGGTTGCGGGTTCGAGACCTATGGGGGCAAGTACTGGCAGTAGGTCGGTGGATTATCTCTGGGAACTCCGGCTTTCCTCCAACGCCAAGACATGGCACGTCCTTAAATGGCCATAGTTGTTAATAATACGGAAAATACAAACAAACAAATTCCGAAATCATGAACCGAACATCATCTGCAGAAAAAAACGACGTCGAGAACAGAATAACGACGTCACGTTATCATAGCGTAAAAGGACGATACAATGTTCAGACTAAATTTTTGTTTCAAGTCGTCGATTCAGTCTATAGTTGCGAAGACACTATGTATGTTGAGTGAAGATTGTTTCGAGATAGTGGAGCACTCGAGACTCGAAGACCAGAATATCGAAATAGTAGTATGTGGAGTTATCAATAAAGTAATATATGGCTGAAATGGCAAGTGGAGTACTCGCTCGAGGTACTTTGTCTGACACTCGAGATAAAGAAGCCAAACGATCGACATACTACATAAAACTATCTATCTGCTTTACGTTCTATTAACAACTAAATGGTCATTACAGGACGTGCCAGATTTTGGTGGTGGTTCCCGGGGAGAAAACACCGACCTACGGCCAGTACCTGGCGACTTCCCCACGTAGGTCTCTAACCCACGATCCAGTGGTGGAGGGCTAGTGGTAGCAGAATGTCAGACATTTAGCCACCGCGGTAGTAGGTACAGAACTAGAGGCAACGCTCTTATTTTGTGGAGCGATCAAAACACAAAATATTTCTAGCAATATCCCCTATACTAGACCTCTATACTTTGACAATGACTTTAAACACACACCATTGTCTCTAGCATGCACACATCCACACCCGATGTTTACGTCATAAACTTGAGGATGACATATAAAGTAGCTTTACGTAGAATACCAGCGTAGTATATCAGATATGAGGTACATGTACAGCTTATGAAGATGCGCCTGGCATTAGACACCACTGATGACGCCAGTCCCCCAAGATCAGCTGGAAAAAACTCAAGTGTGGGCACTTCAACTGAGTAGATTGCCTTCCAAAATCAACTGCACGATCTCGAGTCCGTCTATATCTGTCGACTCACATCAACTGTTTATTATAAGATGTGAACAATTAACATTGTGTTACGTGCTTCACCATAAACAGCCATGTCGTGTGTGGTGTTTCAATTGCGGACGTACACTATCCTGTGTTACGTGTGTGTGTGCTGTAGATAATGAATTGTTAAGTTTAGTCATATAAATTTTAAAAAAACTGCTGGGAATGCACACAAAAAAACATTCATACATATATATTGAGGAAGGAAGTCTTTACGTAGTCCCTAGCACGTTCATTATTGTAACCCAATCAAATCAATTGTACGTTGGCGGAGGCTCTTTGATCAAATTTCTTAACATATATTTATGTATATTTATTTATATTTTATATTCTGCTGTAAGATACATAGATAATGCAGCACTTACAACTCAGGAACGTGTTCGGTACGTCACAATGACGAGAATATCATCATTGAAGGCATCATATAAAAATCACGGTATTGCCCCTATACAAACCAATCCAATAGCAATGGCTAAATCTGCTCTTAAAAAAAACATCTTCAGGCAGTATATTTATTAATTGTTAACGTTACGCAAAGTGATCCGGTTTCTTATCCCAAAACTCAACGGTCCATCAATTGATTGAGATAAATCGTCGTTAGAAAAAAGAAACTTGTTTGTTCGATTTCTTGTTATATTTCCAAACTAATTTGACAAATTATTCCATTTAGGTCATCAAATATACTCGGATTAAATGATTTTTTTTCTTAAATTGTTAGAAAATAACGTATAACGTAGACAGCAAGCATGTAAAAACGGGAGTACCACATGGACACCTGCTAGAAGTACTCTTTTCTAACGTCCGTTACATTTTTATCCTCTGTTTTTTCGAGAGTGTTTCCTTTTGTCGTTGGTCCGTCCGTATTATGTATTTGTTAACCTTTGCCTTCATGCCCTTGTGCATCTTGATTAGTACTGCATAATATACAATGTATCAAAAATAGGGCATACCTGCATCTCCTGAACGGGTCTAAATGATTTAATTTGTCGATAGATCGTAAAACATTGATAAAGCAAAGCACAAACTTAATCGTAAACACATCTTAGGTTTTCTAAATACTTTCATATTTCGTTCAACAATTTTACACATGTTTTTCCCGTGTACCCCAGAATGTTTTGGACACGCAAGCTCCATCCGAGCCCAGTGACTGGATCCGCCTTTGAACGTAAAAAGTATTGTCAAGTCTTTTGTCCGATCCTTTTGGTTTAAAGAATATTTTATATCATACGTCATATATAAAAAGTGCACAGGTTAAATCTTATATAAATCCATCTTCCTTGATATAGAAGTATATCTACATACAGTTAAGTAATACACATAAATTGTTTAAATTAACAGTTTGTGATAATACTGATCATTTTATGTGTTGAACCAAAAATAAAAAATAAATCATAGGTAGGTATGATAGAAGAAAAGAATACAGTAATGAATAGAGCATGAACAGATCCCAGCTAGCACCTAGACTCTATCCGACTCTAAAGATCCCAGCTAGCACCTAGACTCTATCCGACTCTAAAGATCCCAGCTAGCACCTAGACTCTATCCGACTCTAAAGATCCCAGCTAGCACCTAGACTCTATCCGACTCTAAAGATCCCAGCTAGCACCTAGACTCTATCCGACTCTAAAGATCCCAGCTAGCACCTAGACTCTATCCGACTCTAAAGATCCCAGCTAGCACCTAGACTCTATCCGACTCTAAAGATCCCAGCTAGCACCTAGACTCTATCCGACTCTAAAGATCCCAGCTAGCACCTAGACTCTATCCGACTCTAAAGATCCCAGCTAGCACCTAGACTCTATCCGACTCTAAAGATCCCAGCTAGCACCTAGACTCTATCCGACTCTAAAGATCCCAGCTAGCACCTAGACTCTATCCGACTCTAAAATGTACCATTGTACCTTATCAAATATTGTATTATGTTATCATATTGAGACAGATTTGGGTTACCATAAATTAACCGTTCAGGGTTCATATTAATATTTAAAGTACCTATGGTGTTCATTCTAGCTTGGTTAAAGAGCGTACACTGCATCAAATAATGGGAAGGAGTTTCCACCTGCCCACATCTCCATAGATCTGTGTCTGAACCATGATTATTATAGAGATGATAATTAAGGGAGCAGTACCTGGGCCCAGCGATTGCCAGCATGATAATATGGTGGTTTACTAATACGCTGTCTGTTGAGGTGATTTGTGAAAGAAAGATCCTTGTTTATATAATTAAAAGCTATATAAAACATGTTGTAAATTATAATATAAATAAATTGAAAACAAAAATACTGATCATTCATTAAATATGTGAGCACGCATGCGTACATGTATCAGTATCGAAGATTAAAACACTTTTTTCATCTAAATACACCTTTAAAATATCATACTTAATTTCTCTAAAGCAGAAATGTGAACGTTTGCGACAACAGTGATATATAGTTATATATATTTCGAATATATTGTTAAAATCAGACAAATTGCAAAAGGAACAGTAACACTTCCAGACACCGTTTATTGAACAAATACTCAATATCGATAGAAATCCATTTTTAGTGTGAACTCGTGATAGACGTATTAAGTGTGTTTATCTGTATTAAATAGCCTACTATTGACAGACCCTATATATACGTACAAGGATTGTCAACCTGAATCCTGTTGTGTGGTAGAGGTCTCGCGATCGGTAGCGGCTTCTTCCGCCCGGATAATAATTAACTTCCTAGTTGAAGTTGAAATTTCGTGTACTAGAGTAGCGTAATTTTCCATATGTGTGTGTATTATTTCACAACCCAAAATCGACACGCGTGTTGTTGGGTGTGTGCATGCACATATATGTATGTAGGTTGTTTTGCTTCATTGAGCATGCGCCCCTTTTATCCGCATACTCCCACAAGTCATAATATCCGGACATGACGAATTGCTTGTTTCGATTTTAGAGTGTACCTAAACGAGATAAAAATATACTCAACTTTCCTCATGACGGCGAGGAAAATAATGACGACACAGGTGACTTGGAAATTTTTCAAATAGAACCGATCGGACATAAGCCTAACTTTTTTCCAAAATAAAACTGGAAAAGCCATTAAAACCGTATATAAGGGGTTATGATTTGTAGAGAGATCATATCCAAACAGCTATAACTGTAACCTTGGTTTACTTCACAAATTACTCTTAGTATCACGATGGGAATGGCTACTATCACTAAGAATGTGATGAAAGGTAATACACGTGTATATCTTTAAAAGTTTAAACATGTTTTAAATATGTATGTATATATTTATTATCCATATGCACGGATAATTTAATTATTTCATAAAAATAATCGCGATATAATATTAATTTTAAAAAATGTATTACATCACATAACCCTGACGTGTACATTATTATGCCAGCAATCAAAATTATTTGATTGTAATCAAGCCTGTAGGATATCTTTTAAGAAACATAAAATATATCTAGTTAATCGAATTTATCGCCAAATTTTTAAATTTTGAATTGAATAGCACCTATACTTCAGATATGGGGCCGAGTCTGATACAGCAAGATCAGCGTCATAATTCCTTAACGTTAATTCCCAAAATTGATAATTTCGAAAAAAACGTTAAAATATTTTTTTAGTTTCTTTTGTTCATAAGACATTTTGAATCCATTTACATACAACTTGAGTTTTCGGGGGGTTTTTTTGTTTTTTTTTATTTTATTTTTTTGGTAATTTACCAGATTAAAAGTTCCCGTTCAGCTGTCGTAAAGCTTGTGAGACGTTTAACAACTTGATTCACAACTCGATTTTAAAAATTCTGGTCAAAACAGATTTTCTAAGTAAATTTTTTATAAACAAAAACTTATTGGTTGTTTTTTATTGGAATATGGTCATTTTGAATCCCGGGACAAAAAGACATATATGTTTTCATTTAAGTTTTAATAATATCAATAGAAAATATATTTTTTTTAAATGTTACCTTAATATCTGATAAAGCTAACAAATCATTGTCGTTGGCAGTTTACTACTTTAACATTCGATATAAATTACTTTATCAATCATAATTCTCTTTGTATTTATATAAAACTTTCTTTCCGTTAAACTCCATAAGTGATAAAATTTGATGACAGGAAATGCTAGAGGGTAGCTTTCTAATAGGCTGAAATAAAAACGGAACGGTAATCCGGCACTGCGATAACTAAAGTCATTGGTTCATGCCCAGGAAATCCCTTTTAGTTTAAAAATAACCGCGGAAATCTAACAAATATCTGTATAAATGTTTGCGTAAAATGGCTTCATAGATATACTTTGATATAACAATTCAACATGCATGTACACTTTTCAGGTATGCAAGCTGTTATGTATTAATTCGATCATTCTCTTTAGCAAATAATACACAATTTGAATGTTACCTTCTCACCAATATTTCTTACTAACACACTGTAGTATCACTACAGTGTGTACTTCGTATTGTTTATTTTCAATACTGTTACACTACAAAACGATTATACCAGTACATGAATACCTATGTATATATATCACAAAAGCGTACCTTCATCATATATTCAACATTTTACACATACTATTTTACAGGTCTGGGCATTTTTCTCATGCTTCTGTCCCTGGTTTCGGCGACCAAGGTGAAGGAGCAGGCATGGCGAGAACCCTGTGGTGGGCCCCCCGCTGCCCCACCCCCGGGCTTACCTGTACCTCCGCCAATCACAACCGTTAACACCATGATTCCGATTCTCGAAGATTCTGTGTTTAAAGCCAACGAACTGAAGAATAAATATGTAAGTTATTTTTCCCAGTTGATACTTTATATATTGTAGTATTCAATGCACGTTTCGATATCACCCTTTATCGTTTATACGACAAGACATATTATAACACAAATTACAGTATACATGTATACACAACGTTTGTATTTAGATAATATTTAGAAATCTTACCAAAAAAGACTTCTGACTAATATTAATATTTTTCCACAATCAGCTGAACGAGAGATTCTCAAGCAAAGATAGGTTTATAGCCATGATGAACGACTTCCACTTCGAGGGAATGCCAGCTGTTTCTATGAGTCTCTCGGAAATTTCACAGTCACTTTCAAACGTAAGTTTTTATTTTACACCTTTTTTGATACACGAGCTTTTAAAATAATAAAGTTTCAAAACAATTTCATATTGTAATTCTTCTTTATTTTTTTTATAATTTTTGCCTGTTCTGGACTACATGTATTTGAGTTACAGTATATTTAATGATGTCAATTCTTGTTGATTTATTACGATATTTGGTCATCGTTTTGTGCTGTAAACAACCAATCATACATATTTTTATTATTATACTTTCACAGCTCACCCTTGCTCATCAAACTAACTACGAGAAGGTATCCCGAGCCTTGGTATTTTTAGAACAAGTTGCCCTTGACGAGGACTTGCTTGAGAGTTCATCTTATATCGACGATGTATCCAGTATTCAAATAGGGGCTCTGAATCTTCTCTGTAACAAACAGAAGTTGATCCTCAACGCCGGGGCCGTCATCAATTACGTTTCGTCTTCGATAATGAAGGACGATGTGAGGGGATACAGCAACATATTCGAACGTCACGTTAGGGATTATATCATTGTAAAAGACGTGTACAGGCTACTGGAAACCATGCTTACCCACGTTCAGGCTATCCACAATAGTCTCGCTGCGTAAGCACCACCGCGAGACTTGAACCCACATTACTCAGGCTCTTCCCAGTTAGGGAAATTGAACTACAGTAGATTATGTTAATCGACTTGATGTTTTGTATTCATACCTTATAAATAACAACGAAGATGACGACGAACAATGGTGACGAATGTTCAGTTTGATGAAAACACCGTGATTTTGTGTACGTAAATCTATATTTTATCTTTTGTAAAATGATATACAATATTTTTTTTCTGATACATTTATTCATATACAATGTTTCAAAGTAATCGTGAATGACAATATTTACATCTGTGTAATAACCAATTTGTCGCGTTATTTGCTTGCCTTATGCTCTCATCATTGTTTTTAGTACATATGCATTCAGATTGAGAGTTGTCATGTGTAACCTTTGACGGGAGAAATTTGAAAGGATCGCAAGAGGTTTCCCGATACAATTCAGTATATATATAATGGGAGCAATAAATTATGGTCACGTCCTACATATATATACGTATATATTTAGCCAGGTAGTGTCTTAATACACGTGTTCATATACTACAGGTCTTTTCTGGTAAAATGTACGACTTAAACAGGTTCCACTGGCCAGTGAAACCTGTTTAAACTTACAATCACATACGGAAAAGGATAATACATGAGTAAAAATATACACGATGAGATTAATATGAACACTGCATTAACACAGGATTCCGGTTTAAAGTGGCCAATCTAGATACGTTTCATTATTTATAGATATTATTATGTTATCAAAATGTACATGGCTTTTCATTATCATTTAATCATAAAATCTCATGTTGACATGTTTTATGTATCCATCCCGTTCATGCCAATGTAATATGTATGTGTAAATTATTTTTGAAAACATTTTAAGTTATTGTCTCGTGCATTTGTCCAGTTTATTTAAAGTGTGTTGTTCGTATTTATATATATTTAATGTCACTATGAGCCATGAGAACATATCAAAACGTCATTCCTTGCCAAGTACAAGATCCAACAGTATTTTAAATAATTATCGACTTTTACATTTGGTATTTTATTTAAATATATTTATGTGTATTTTAGGATTAGTGCTTTATGTCATTCTATTTATTCTTTCGTTTGTTTATTTATTTATTAACCATGAACATTGATATGATCCATGTATATCAAAGACTTTATGTCTCTGAAACTCGAACACTTATTACCTCAATAGTTATAGCTACGGTGTCTTATTGCGAACGCTCATAAGAAAGAAAGAGTTGTCTCCCTTAGCCCGCGATTAGTTTTTCAGCGTCTCGTTTGTATTGAATTTGTATTTGTGTGTATTTTTGCTGTTGGATCTCATGCTTCATAAATGAAAGTGCTTTTATATTTATATTTTTACAAACATTTTAAAATAAAATTTACATATTTTTATAAAATCATGCGTTTTGCTGTTTTTTTTAATTACAGCCGTCTTTATAGTACAGAGTTGCAATCTTTGGCTGACTATTATAATGTCTCACCCTACGCGTTGAGATAAACTTTCATCCCCTTATGGAACGATTATTAAGGTGCCAAACAGAAGGCTTGCTGATGATAATCGGCGAGAAATATGTTTCCGCGGGAATATGAAAACAAAAGCCGTTGAACCAACTGTCCAACCCCGTATTAATGTTTAAAGGTATCCGATGTTAGCGATTATAATGTTACCCTCTATTTCAAATGTTAGTATAGACATTCAAACACAGAAACGGTGACTGAGGGGAAGAGTATCAATTTATCAATCAGAGATTGTTACTTGTACGAGATAGATTAATAAATACGGAAAATGACGAAACAGAACGTCAGTGGTACACTAAATCGTTACAAAGCCTGTACGGAAGTATATTTCACAAAATCTGAATCTGGTTCAAGTGCTATGATCTGCTATAATAGATAATGAAATGAAGTAATTCGCTGAAAATCAGCTTTTTGTTTAGCCATTATTGTCCTACTCTTTAGGTATGTCCCTATCAATATCTCTTGGCTTTAAATTTATCCTAGGGGTTCAGCAGCCCTTTGGTTGCTCTTCCGCCAAATATGTATTTACCGATGCATTTCTATCATGTCCATGCACATGTTCATCTATGTTTATACTCTTAGAGTCCTAACGCAATTATGTCCCTTAGTGCTGCATTTTTGCTCCAGAAATGCCTAGCATCTGTCATAATGGATATTCCATTAAAACCGTCATAAACCTCCTCTTCATTTTCCCTGTCCATCTCCTCTGCTACCTCGGCAGCCTCCAATAGTGTTGCTGTAATCTCATCATTGATAGCATCATTGATACAGGTATCTGTCAACGTTGATGTGACATCACCGTACATGTTATGTACTCCATCAAAGAAAGATTCTGCACAAGTACCGATCTTAGCTGCTTTACAAATCCTCTCATCTTGACTATGGCGAATACCTGTTGACATCACAACATGTACCATCCTAATATTCACCAGCATTTTGCCTCCTGCCACGTGAGGAGAAGTGTCACATGTCACGGTATGATTACTTGCACACATTAAAGTAATTTTATCGGCATGTCCTACATGTTTGATGTCACTAATATCCAGAACATTGTCACAGGGCAGTCGATGTATTTGTATAGCACAACACATATTTCTCAGACCTGATAGTGTGCTAACGTAAAGTTCCTCCCGTGTTTCATCTTTGGTACAACATGCGAATGGTGAATATGTGACTGGGTTTTCGTCAGCATTTCCCTCTGTTGATTGATGAGCATGGAGGTAGAAGTCAAATACTTCATCTAATAATTTCCTGTTGCTGATGCTGAAAATCTTCTCCCCCATCAAAAGTTTAACTGAAACCATTTTATTAAAATCTGCAGTTTTGTCGTCGGTAGATTCTGCATAAAAGCGAATGGAACCAGTTACAGATGGGTGCTCCTTATATTTTCGTCTCTCATTTCTGTCCTTCATGGTATCCCCAGAGTCTACATGTCGCGGCTTTCTAACATTTGCCTGTCTGTCGTCATCTCTAATTCTAGATACACCTGGTGCCTCCATAATGATAACATTGCTAATAGGGACGTTTGTATAAAGTTGAAAGTGACCAAATGTTGCTATACCCAACACTGTATGTGGCTGGATTATTTTATAATTGTCTCAAAGGCGGGGATAGCAGGTTGGATAATTTCTTATATAATCTCAAATACATGTATTATGATATATTTGCACGCCTTTATATACCTTTGTTGCATTTTATTTTATTTATAGTAAAGATTCATAAAGAAAACGCTATAAATGCATATTTGTGCTAGACAATACCATCCTTCCACACCCGTCTTGCCCATTCATATATACAAGGATGGATTCCTCATGAATGGTCACGTTTTATCATGGCATAGGGGGAAAGAATGGTATGCAACTAGATAGGTTAAAAATACAGATAAAGCTCACTAAAATAATGCATTTACATTAACAATGCTGCAATGTATCTGTTTAATTGATCATACATTGAAGTTTACTCCAACCATTCCAAATTGTGAGACTTTTGAAGTAATGTTCAAAGTGATGGCATCCTCCTGACCCCTGTATACTATGTATTTATGGTACGTTCTTACCTGGCCTGGGGAAATTTTCCCCTCCAAAATGTGACCACATACAGTGCCGAGTACCAGCCTGCTCAGTTGGATTTATTACCAGGAATAAGGAATGGCTAAACAAAATCTACTGATAAGAATAACAGAGGAACAATTGCAAGTACATCTCTGGTCAGTGAAACTGACACTACTATTTCTGAGGATTTGGCAGCAAGTGTTAATGATGTAAGTCCTTTGATGGAGCCAAAGGGGATTTATGACTTGGTGAATGTGTGCATTGTTTTTGCACAAATTGTGTTATCAATTTCACACAATTTTGGCTATAATTCCTTGTGCTAGAAGACAAGTAAGAAACTCAAGATTATGGAAAGACAAATATATATAAAAAAAAAACAACATGTACTGGACCATGTTGTTTAGGTAAAGGGCATAGTTAGATCAAAGATACATTCATGTACCTTTCTAAGAAAAAATAGATTCATATTTATCCAGAAAGAGATTCTTGGAACTGTGTGGACTAAGAGAGCAATAATTATTAAATTGATGTGGCCTGTACTCGAATCCTGATAATAAACTATAAATGGGCCAGTAAACCATATGATGTATTGATCATGACCCCTAAACCGAATATTTCTGTTCTGTTTCACTGTGTCTTGAGAAAGGAGCGGATCGCTCCGAAAATTTGACAACCTAAACTTGTCCACACTGTTGGAATTACTTCTTTGCCCCATATATTGATATATATATATACACAAGATGTTGTGAATTTTAAAGTTGGAATACACATTTTGGAATATATTCTGTGATGAATTGCTGTTCATAGTATAAGGTAAGTGATACCTTATGAAAGTGTATACACTGACCATGTGCTGCAGCACGTGCTGATGCTGTTTTGTGTTTACAATCTAGGAGTAGTTAGTTCATCTTAGGTCAGATTTTCCTTATTGGGAAAGGGGACAATTTCAATTTTTTCAAAATTTATCTCACCTCAGCTATTTATACTGCAAGTTCTAACTAAATATTAGTTTATCACATTATGTAAGTAGATAGAACCGTCCACTAAATCTTAAACTTTACCCAAGACATTTTTTGGGAATTTTTATTCGCTGTTTTTCATGAAACTTTTGATTTTAATGAAAAATTGTCTGAGCTCTTAACTGCAGCTAAAAGTCAGACATTTTCAAATTTAGGCTACGCTTCTTTCCTTTTATAGTCCGGGCACTGGTTTAAGCAAATCATGCAATATTACACAAGGATAAATTGAAGTTTATGTCTATGCCTGTGTCTAGTACAGGAGTCAGTTATTACAAGGGTAACGGATATTAAGAAATTGGATGACATTTTAATGAGATGGGTCCCGCAGTCTACAACACAGGATCTTACAGGCATCAAGGTCAACCAAATCGGAGCTGCTAGACACCTGCCAGACACACTTTACTGAGCGATACGATGCATTTTACATCATTTCGGATCCATACCCAGCCATTGTGGCCTTCCTTTGAGGACATTTCTTCAAGAACATTCAACAGGGATAACATCCTCGATATTTCAGGCATTACGCTCACTTTCGCTCTCTACACTCCTGGAGTAAGTCATAGCAAAAATTAAGGCACGCGGCTAGCTATTTGATTGGTCTTAGGTGGGAAAAGAAACTGACTTATCGCTAGGCTGATACCTGTCCATTTAAGATTACAGAGGGTCGACGCCGGACTTCAATTTTCCCGTTATGCGACCGACAGATTTCTTTTGATGAACATCAAAGGATAAAATTAGTCCTCTTGTCTGATCCACAAGGTGATGCACACGAAGCTTTCGATTTTGCTATGCCATATTCTAGCGGTGCAGAAGTGAGCGCAACTCCTGGAATATCGAGGATGCAGGGATAGCGCATCGCAACGAAACATCATTTCACACGGCATTCACCAGTTTCGATATTCTGATCTGTCCGTGACTGCAAAGACTGTTTGGTACACCTTCCGAAGCTACATAGCAGAAAGGGAGACGTTATATCAGCATCAAAGAATGTTCAACATGTTCGCGATGTACGAGAGCAGACTGAGGACAGGCAATGTGTGGCACGATGAAGCTCTCAAAATGGCAGAGGGTGTGTATGTAAAGCCACTTTGTGTCATTTATCGCCATCACAAGAACACCATGTCCCGTATTTAAGAAACCGTCCTTATGCTCAAGAGTGTTTTTTGTGCTCTATCGTAATTTCTTGTTTTGGAAAATCTTTGAA